ATGGTGGTCAGGTGTCTGCAGGGAGAAGACACCAGGAGCAGGATGGGCAGGATGGGCAGGAGGGGCAGACTCACTTGTAGAGGTCCGGCTGCGGTTGTTCACACTCGATCGTGGCGGTGAGGGCATCGATGGCTTCATCCGTACAGAGCACAGTGGTGTCCCGCACTGCATAGTGAGTCTGGGCAGAGAAGCACAGGCAGCATCACCACAAGCCCCCAGCAACACCATTACTTAAAATATCAGCATGCAAAGCTTGTCAGCGCCAGCAGCTAACCCAAGCCCTCGCCCCGCTCCCACAAAGCAGCTGAAGCATCTCTCAGTGAAAGACTGAAGTCAGTAAGTTTAAGAGAAACCGTGGTGGGAAGGAGCTGCTGGAGACCTGCTCAGTAAGGCGTGCACCAGAAGCAGAGCATCTTTGGTTTTTTCCCCAGGGACTTGCCGCCACCCCGGCTGGGGTCAGGGCAAAGGGGCTCCGGGGGACCACCCGCCCGCCTGCTCCTGAAGGTAATTAGACCCCAGCTCCAGCGCCCAGGGATCAGGCAGAGCACTGGCAGACTCCAAGCTATTTTTAGTAGCTGCTGCTGTGAAGGTTCATCTCTCACAATTAACTGGAAAGCCCACGAAGGATCCGCTCATTGCCTTCCAGGCTCTATTTATAGGAGCTACTCAGAGCTCCAAGTCACGGCAGGCTGCCTCTATCCATCTTCATAAACAAATTCATTAACAAGCTTCCTCCACTCCTTACGTTTGCGTTCCCCTCCTTGCGCATCCTGGGAGGAACCGTTAACGTTACACACGCTGTAGTCGTGACATTATAAATAGCCACCGTCATGCCGTTTTGATAACTCGCCTGGCTATTCGTATGGAAAGCGGGCACGCAGACACACACACCTCTCTGGTATAAATCACAGCTTTTGTGAACTACAACTCAAAACGGTTCCCGCAGCGCCCAGTACCAAACCCAACCGTTGGGTGGGGTTTTGCATCCGCCGCTCCTGTCACCAGGGACGCTCTGCAATTACCAAGCGATACTTCAAAGCGCCTCCTAATCAATTCCACAATCTTTACATCCGCGGTCCCTTAGCGTATTTAGAAAACACATGTTCTTTTAGATAACCTACAACTGAAGATTCGTGCTTCAAAGACAGAGCCCTGACCAAATCCCTTTTATAGTTCTGCTCCAGTTTCACTTAACCAGGCATCTTTCCCATATCTCAACCCAAATATCTCATGCCCCAAACACCAGCAAAATCCCCACCAGGTAGGCAGCAGACACCAGTGCAGATGAGGTTTTCTGAGTACCTGAGGGTCTTTCCCTCACCCTCCTTTTGCAGCAAACCCTGGCTGCTAACGCTAGACCTATTTCCCCAAACAGTGCTTCCTTTTCTATTCCCTCTTCCCATTCAAACTCATCTTCATCTCATCAAGAAACAGGAGACAGCTCCCAGTCACCTGCAGGAATCCACAAACCAAGGGAAAAAACACCACAGTGCTTGACACAGAAATTCAGTATTGCAGTTAAAGCCTCAAAAGTTACCTGAACTCATGCATATAATACACCTGACACAAATAAGCAATCGCCTATTTAACATAGTTATCTATTTTCAGCCTCAAGCCACTTCAAAGCTCCACTCCTCTTCACTAGTGGAACCAGTACAGCAGCCCAGCACAGCCTCAGCTCCTGCACAAGGTTTCAAGTACCAGTTAACAGCCGCCTGTCAAGAGATGAGCTGCAGACCCCATACAACACGTATCAGACTGACAATGGTGTGCCTGCTGACCTGGGAATGTGCTGGAATGAATCACGTCATTTTAAAGTGTCTTCCTCTCTTACTACTGCAGTTGCTAGTATCTGTATAAATATTTATCAAACAAGTACAACCAAATTTTCATAGTTGAGAGAGGGAGGACGAATGTAGAAAGGAAAAAAACTGAAAGGAGATTCATCCTGAGCAAGACTAATACTAAATTTTACTGCATGATTCAGGGAAATGGAGAGAAAAAAAACCAACAGAAGATAAGTTTTTCTCAGGCTGGTGAAAAATTCCTCAAATGAACGTAGACATACTGCCTCAGAGAGTGCCAGATCTCACGGGGAAAGCTTGGTTAAATAAAGAGGCATCGGGCAGGTAGTGGAAAGGGAGCTGAAGCAGCTGCAGGCGCTGCTTTACCAACGCACCAGACCTCGCGATGTGCGGCTGGAGCAGGGAAGCAGCAACACGCTTCCCGTGATGGACAATAAGGCAGCGAAGCCATATGGATAAAGATCAATGCAATTTGGGGCAGCGCCAGCAGAAGTGGCTGTTGGAGACAAAATGGAAACCAAACAATCCCCAGGGCACTTCAGTGCTGACACACTGGGAGCAGGCAGAGGGAAGAGCTGTAAATACAGCGACGTGGCCACGGGGATGGGCTCTGTTGGGAGCATCCTCCAGTTAATCACACCCCCCCCCCGCTTCAGTGGCAGCTCTAGGCACCCAAGCTCCCCAGAGCTCCCGAACACTGTCCCCTCATCCCCGTCACCTTGAAATTGGACTCGCCATCAAGACTCGCTGTAGTGACATAACAGGTCCCGTCCATGCTGCTCGAGGCCAAAAATATCAAGTCACAGGGGAAGGTCTCGTCTGCTTTCACTTCTACTATGTCTCCAACCTGGAAGAAAGGAAGCATTTACACGGAAAGCCCTCTCGGTTGTTATTAGATGGTTACTGATTTAGCTTCTCTCAAAGCCTAAGAGAAATCACCTTGGCTAAAAGGGAAATCAGGATTCAAGAGGCGCACAGGTCCCTGAGCATTACTCCACAGCCTGACAGGTCGACTGAGCCCAGCACCAACTCACAGCACCCATGTGGCACAGTTAGTATTTATTTCTCTGCTAAATCTCGATGGAGCAAAAGACTCTGTACTTGTCTGAAGTGCAGTGTGATAAACTAACGTCAAAGCTGGTGTACTTTCCTGGTGTCCTTGGGAGGGTTGGAAATAGAAGAGGACTGCCTGTCCCAGAGAAGTGCAAAATGCTGACAGATCTGTCACTTGTCAGCCCCGGTACAGCTTTTGTGAGACAGTTTTTCAAAAGGAATCAAACAAAGGCAGCCTCACTCCTTAACCAAGAAAAGCTCTCTGAGCATCTCATCTGAAAGCAAGCACGTCGGGGCAGCTCTAACCACAGCACGTCCTTCCTGCCCTGCCCTCGCCTCCTTAGCACACACCCTCGTGTTCCCGTCAGCTTCAAGGATAACAACATGCAAGTTCTCTGTTAACAGTTACCTTGATTTTTTCACTCTCTTTCTGCACTTGCTTTGCGTTTTCGACAATGAAGACATTGCTTTTGTTCACTTCGTTGTCAGCTCTGTGCCGCAGCCAGTCCTCGTATCCCTAGGCACACAAATACAGGCAACACAAACGCATAACGAAGCAAGTAAACTAATGAAAGAGGATGAGTGGGGACGGAGAGAGACGGAGAGACTAAAAAAATGAATAAATTAAGCAGTCCTCAGACCTCCTTCACGCCTGACAAAACATCAGAGTAGCTCAGACTGAATCAATTTATTTTAAAAACTTCATATGCATATTTGACAGATTCAGAACAGATTAAAATAACACACAAAAATAATCTATATGCAGTGCATGCAACGAGCAGCTAAATTACTGTAACATGTTTCTGTTATTCTCAGTGTTGGCAAGAACAGGCTGATAATATGAATAATACACTTAGCACCCTGCAACTCTTTCCTATGGTAACGCAGGACAAAACTCTTCCTCTTCAGTCCTCACTGAAAGAATAAAACATTCAGATTTGAAACAGATGGATTTTACTCTAGCTCTCCCCTTCTGGTCCCGGCAGAAGAAATTTCTTTTATTATTCAATCCTTCTGCAGAGGAAATTTTAAATGGCACACGTGAACACGACAGGAAGAAAAAGAGCTTTTAAGACCGCAAGAAGATGAGCACTACATGTTTTCAGGACTAGCTGAGTGGTTGAACAGAACCTGTCCTTTCCATTTACCAACACGGGAGCAGAGCGTGGGCTATATTTGGAGCACGTCTCTGCAAAGACTCAGAGAGCATTTCTAAAAAGAGAAGAAAAATTCAAGTAAAGCCAGAACTACAGCAGTAACCTTTACTGACCCTCACAGCTTGCTTACAACAGTGCATGCAGAGATGTTTTACATTGCCAAAACAGGAAAGAGATCAATAATGACACTCAACATGCAGCCTCTCTTGAAAAACACCAGTATACGTTTCTGACCTTCTGAGAAGGTTTCACCAAACCTACCAGCCCATTTTGGTGACTTCTGAGTCTATTCAAACACATGCTCATCATTTTCTCTACCACATGTCCCGAAGAGCATCTTCCTCTCCCCACATTGACACCTGTACCTGTTTGATAGCTGTGACAGTGATGACAAAGAAAAGGGGGAGGCCACTGGTCACCGGGCTAGTCGGGGTGTCCACTATCACCTGCAGAGAGACAAAAAATGTACTGTTGACAACTGGTTTTCAGGCAGCAGAAGAAACAAAAACTCTGGTAACAGGGGAAAAAGGGTGCTCATCCCACTGGGGTGAGTCACAGCCCATTAGAGAAGGAAGGGAAGGAAGGGGCACACGAGCAGGACCAGCACAGGCATCCCCAGGAGTGCTCTCCTCCATCTCGAGAAGACTACAATACCTCCTCCTGAAGACCACGGGGTGCTCTCAGGTGGGGAAAAACCCTATCAGAAGTAGCTTAAAACCTAAATTTGACCTTGCACTAGTGGGAAACAAAAGCCTGGATGAATGGGCTGCTGGGGATGGGCTACATAAACGCAGCTATTCAAAGTGCAGATGCCAACAAGCCTGCTCCCACCACGGGGTGTGTTGGAGAGGACCAAGGCAGCCAAGGAGAATGGGGTAGAGGCAGCAGCAATGCATGAAGTGAAAACCACCCTCATTTCTCACTGAGCTACAGGAGGGCCATTTCTCCCCTTTGGCAGTGACGTGGGGGCACATCCGAACCCTAAACAACGGTTGGCTATGGAGAACAGTAACAGTCACCTTGAACCACTGACATTCAGAGGTTAAAAGTAACACATGTCAACGCAAATTACCTATGAAATATATTGCAGAATGGAACACAAATATTTAAATAAAACAGAAATCCACAGTCTGTCTTTAAGCTCTCAGATTTGGAGTTCAGAGCACGACTTAAGCACAACAACTGCACAAGGGCCTTGGGGTGGATAGCTGGATCCTTCCCGAGCTCGGCACGGTGCTCGAGCCAGCACTGCAGCAAAGACCAAGCCCTTTCATCGTTAATTAAACCTTCGGGCTGTGGGAAACCGCTGTTTCTTCTGACTGTATCATGATTTGGCCCAAAGGGTAGGAACAGCAGAACAGGTACATAACTGGGAGGGAATAACGCAAGAGGAGGACAAGCTGTGCCCTTGCCCCACCTCCCAAACCAGGGCACAGAAAATTGGCCATTTTTCCTGCT